GTTTATTTGATTTTCTTTTTTTAATTGGATATTTGCAATCAGTTGAAACTGTAACAGTTGTTGGAAAATGATATAGCAGTTTTTTTTATTTGTTTATTTATTTATCTGTTTGTTTATTCAATTTTCCTCTATTTTTATTGGATATTTGCAATTAGTTGAAACTGTAACATTAGTTGTAAAAGAATATAGGAAGTTTTTATTTATTTATTTATTTATTTGTTTTTGTTTGTTTGTTTGTTTGTTTGTTTATTTGTTTGTTTATTTATTAGATCTTTCCTATATATATTTTTTTTTGCAAAAGTTGATAGTGTTGCATTAGTTGCAAAATGATATAGGAAGTTTTATTTACTTATTTTATTTTTCCTCTATTTTATTGGATTTTTTAAAACAGCTTTTGACATTAGTTACAAATGGATATAGGATATTTTTATTATGTGTATTATTTATTTTATTTTATTTCATTTTACCTATTTTTTCTATTTGTAGTGGAATTTTGGACGACTTATTTTATTTCAGTATTTATTTAAATAGTAAAATTCTATTTTATTTAACTTTTACAATAGTGTCTCATTTTGTTACATTAATTAATACACTTGTTAACATTCTCTCCAATATGTTTTTACAGCAACTACCATAATAATACTTTGTGTTTGTCTCAAAACACTTTCCTAAAGCTGTTGTTAGCAGTAGAATTAGTCTCTGTGTTTTATCTTTCAAAGCTTTTTAATCCCAACATTTATTACTCATGATATGTATGTGTTGTTTATTTGTGGATTTGTGTTGTAGTGAGTTTACAATCTACATCTCCCGATATAAGTCCTTCTACGCCATGCTTCCTGATATGTTGTGTGATGGAGAGAAGGTCGTCGATGAGTTCTCATGTTGGAGTGGAGATGATGTGGTGAAAAGGTAAGACATTCATTTTGTACAGATAAATGACAGCATAACCTCTGATTTCGAGTCTAGATCGGACCAAAGAAAATGACTTTTTCCCTTGCTTTAGTTGGTTTTGCATGTTAGCATGATCACCCATGAAGCTGATCTGTTGGGTTATTTAGACGACACTTCATCTGAACCAGGTTGAAAGACAAGCTTAGGCTGGTTTAGCCCCCTGGCTGTCACTGTTTTGCCACCGAAATGTTTAAATATGACTTTTCTTTGCAATTATGTCCTAATACAATCATGATACATTATATATTGTTGGAAATGTCTTCTGAATACATATTTTACCACAGTTTTTGTTATGTAGGAAGATTAAAACACAGTTACTGTTACCCTAACATCTGTGAGACCATTTACGGTTACATTTGAAAAGTTCAGATGCAAGAACCAAATGCTATCTAAAATTTTCTTTCAAAATTTGTATTTGAAGTCTTAAAATGTCTAGTTTCCAGATCTGGTGACTGGTGATTTTTGTAAGATAATACTGAGAAACAATTACTTATTGATTTGCAACAATGATACATAAAGCATTACTTTGCTACAGCAATCCAGATGTAAAATTTAGTGTAGAATGTAAAATTTAGTTGAGATGTTTTAAGGGCTAAAATATTAACAGAATATCACAAATATTGTCAAAGTTATAAAAAAATACAGTTCTTTTTCCTCCAAAATATAGGGGGGCACCCATGTATGATCAGCAATGGAAACTGGATGTCATCCGGTGGTAATGTTTGGTATTGCAGCCAAACGAAATCTTATTGAAAGCAAATTTTTTGAGATTTTAACTTTAAATTTGGAACATGATTTGTGCAGATATTTAGCTTACTAAATTTTATGTATTATAAGATATACAAATTTTCATTTGTATTATTTTCATAAACAAAGGCATTTGTTTTAGTTAACATTTTTCACTTCAGCTACAATCTGACTTATTAGTCAAGCTTAAATATGTGCACCAAAGATTGGCAGATGTTTAAGCTGAATATGTTATTTTCATGTATGTGTTAGAAGTGGGTATGACAATTAAGTGGTTATACCTTTGCACTGGTTTTGCACTGCTAAAAAAGCTTGGAGTTATACATTTCGCAGTTTGCCAGCTCCCATCTGGCTCGGGTCTGGTATGTGTATTTGGTCTTTTAAGAACAAAGAAACACATCGTTGCAAATAATCAGTCAGGAAAGTACAGATGGAAAAGCCAAACACACCCACAGAGCCCCACCATTAACAAGAAATTACCTTTGGGCCACACTGACTGACTCCTAATAGATTTATAACAAATCCGTTGCCCCTCAGAGAATAAGTGTTTACTTTAGAGTGGATGTCTGGCTCCAATTTCATGCCTCAAAAGATAACTCACCCTAACGACCAATGATAAATGACTAAACCGATGTCAGGTAACACAGAGGAGTGCAGTTTGCCAATTTCTTTGTTTCTTCTTCCTCTGTCTCTCACCAAATTCTCCAAGTTTTGGTAAAGCACCAAGACTGTTTTGCGGTGTTTGTGGCCCAGCAATGTCTCTTTCTCTCACATCCATCACTCTCTCGTTCTCAGAGAGGTCACGCGGCACATCGACGGTCTGTATTTCATTTCCCCCATTGGCTCCACTTCTTAAGCACCGTCAGCAGAACATGCAATTATGACAATATTCTCTCTCTTTCGCTCCTTCACTCGCAATCATTCTGTCCTCTTGTGCCCAAATGTGGTTCCTGCCTCATTCCAACTGTCTCTACTAGCAACCGACCAAATCCTGGCCATCAACAATGCAGAAGATGACTAGATATAATCTTTGAAATGATTAGCCCGCTTCTGAAATGTGAATTTAATCTAAATACATTAGACATAAGATAGTTTGAGGCCCCAACTACACTAATACATTTTAGTTTTACAAACACATATGTTTTGCTGCCGGTATGCCTTCTGTCCACACTACCTCTGAGTTTTCGAGCCCTGAAAACAGAGCATTTTGGAAACGCTGAAGAGGTCGTTTTGGTCTTAAAACGCTGCTTCTCTAGGTCAGTGTGGATGGGGAAAACTAAGACATCTGAAAACCGAGGCATGGCTGCAGACAATCACTTGGCTGATTCATTCATTTATTTTCTTTTCGGCTTGGTCCCTTTATTAATCTGGGGTCGCCACAGTGGAATGAACCGCCAACTTGCCCAGCACATTTTTACACAGCAGATGCCCTTCCAGCCGCAACCCATCGCTGGGAAACATCCATTCACACTCATATACACACACACACACACACACACACACACACACACACACACACACACACACACACACACACACACACACACTACGGACAATTTAGCTTACCCAATTCACCTATCCGCATGTCTATGGAATGTCTTTGGACTTGTGGGGGAAATCGGAACACCCGGAGAAAACCCACGCGAACGTGGGGAAAACATGCAGACTCCACACAGAAACGCCAACTAACCCAGCCAAGGCTCAAACCAGCAACCTTCTTGCTGTGAGGTGACAGCACTACCTACTGCGCCACGCGTCCTTGCTGATTAGTGCTTTTCCCCAATATTAAGTTCAGTCTTGCATCCTTTCCTTAAGTTCAGACTTCGCAAGTTTGATATAGAAAACAAACTCCAGAGGACACATGCGGTAAAACTTTAAAGGTAACAAAGTGCGTTATAACATAATGTTTAATTGTTTCACAATTTTAACAATAAAATGAAAACATAATATAAGGAACTGCCTATGTTCATTTTAATATTAGCAACTTAACAGACACCAAAAACATTAAGGCTCGTGTTGCTAAATATTTATGATTGTGAGTTTCACTTTATGCATATTTATGACAAAACGAAGCCTATAAAAAAACTGCCTCCTTTCATTTTCATTGAAAAATACAAAGCATACCCTGTCTCTTTTGCTGAATACCAGTTTTCAGTAATAATAAATAAATAATCAATCAATAATACAAAAAGTTTATACAATATTGGAAAATAAAGGCAAGCAATCAATCAAATGTGCAGAATCGGCGTACGTGGTTACATAAATTCATATATTAACTTATCTTTGCACTCAGCCAAAACACGTTACCTGAGAACAATTGATTCAAAATACCAAAGAGTCATTAGATATAGACAAATTAAATATTATATTTAACAATTATAGTTAGAAGAGATCCAGCAGTAGATCCTTGATTAACAATTCAGTGTGCACTGCACTCACCTGGGGAGGTGTGCTCAAAGCACCCGCTCACTGGCTGGGGCTCAGATGTCCGCATACACTGCATCACATGATAGAGTGAGTGTGTAGTCCCGGGATGTGCGTTTTCAGCAGTTTAGTGTAGATGGAGATCTTTTCAGAAACGCTAGGTGAAACGTATTTTGCCAAGATGACAGTGGATAATATTTTCTAGTCATTTTGCAAGATATTCAACTTAAAGTGTAATTTAAAGGCTTAACTAGGTTATGTTACCTAGGCAAGTTATGATAATTAAACAAGCTATTGATTAACAGGGTTCTGTTCTGTTAAGTTCTGTAGCCAGTGGCTAATAATATTGACCTTTAAAAAAAACAAAAAAAAAAAAAAGCCAAAAAAAAAAAACACTTTTTTGTTTTACAAAAATGAGAAACTGCTTAAAGATTTTCCCCAGAAAAAAAATATGTTAGAGGAAATGTTGTGGAAATACCCTTGGTCTGTTAAAGAGCACTTGGGAAATATTTGTAAAAGAGAAAAATTTATTAATTAATAATTTAGAATTTTTTTTCCCATTAATTTTGAAAATGAATAATTTTGACTCCTACTGTACATGTTTCTCTTCCATGTTGATGCACAATGCATTAAAATACTGGTGGTACTATAGTTACAAAATAATTGGGTGTAGAAAAAATTTCATTCAGAAATTGGCAAAGAAACAATTATAAAAATCCGTTCTACTGTGTCTCGAACTGAATATGGTAGAGAAAGATTTGTGTTCTGTAGAAATTGCATTCTCTTACAAACCCCTTTATTAGATACTTCTTGCGTGTACTGGGTTGGAACTAGAGGTCTTCACAGGTCCAGAAGCGCGAGGTCTGACCCAAGACTCAAGTGGATTAAGATCTAAGATTTCAATTTGTTCCTTGGACATTTGGTCATGTAGGTTATTACATGCCTCAGGTCTTGGGTGATTGAAAATAAATGTACATTTCTAAATGGAACTGGTCAGACCCAATTCTTTAAACAGAGAGTCATTTTAACCTACAATAACAACCCAACTCTTCCGAAATAAGGTTTCAGAGATCACATTTGCTGACTAATGAGTGACATTTAACAAATTTATATGATACAACTTAGGGGTGGTACAGTGCCTTAGTGGTTAGCAATCTCGCCTCACAGCAAGAAGGTTGCTGGTTCGATTCCCGGCTGGGCCAGTTGGCGTTTCTGTGTGCAGTTTGCATGTTCTCCCCGTGTTCATGTGGGTTTTCTTCAAGTGCTTTGGTTTCCTCCACAGAGATATGCACTATAGGTAAATTGGCCGTAGTGTATGAATGTGAGTAAATGCGAGTGTATGGGGGTTTCCCAGTACTAGGTTGCAGCTGGAAGGGCATCCGTTATGTAAAACATATATGCAACACTCTAACCACTAGACCACACTAACCGCTATTGGCACTGACAAAAGTATAATTTTTTTTGACGCTGTTTTTTATTATTAATATTTGGTAAACTCTGCACTGGTGAATCATTACTATAAGGCAGGAATGTGTATTAAAGCAAGAAAGGATGATTTGGGTTTCACGTTGACTTGAAGCAGCGTGTAAGATCTGTGATCTCCAGTAAAAACACACACTGCACTGCAGCCTCCAAAAAACAAATGTGTTTTATTCACCCACGTTTCTGCCTTTTTTCCTACAGTGCTTTCACAAATAATCAGTCTTCAAAAAATTGGCATAAGAAAAATCTGCATTTCCAAAAAACAGTCAGTCGGCAACGATATGCAAGATATTACTAACATTTTG